TATAACACCTCTTGTTGTCCACATCATTGGCCACAACCGCCCCATCGGAACTGCCGTCTTCTGAGTGAAGCATTTCAATGATTTGTGCCGTTTTAGATCCCGGAGCCGCACACATGTCCAGCACTCGGTGTCCAGGTTTTATGTCCATCAGCAGCGCCGGAATCATTGAAACGGCTTCTTGTCTACTGATATATCCCTACAGAAGTGAATGAATGTAAGAATTGACGCCAAAGTGACAAACCATTCATTGAATACCGAATCGGTTTCCGAAATTAAGAAATTCTGGAGAATCCGAAAGGATTGGGATTTTCTGATCTCAACCCTCGATATATTGATATTCCAGGCGAACCGGTTGGGGTACCAGTCGATGCACGTCAGACCATTCGTGGTGTCACTCTTGTCACCCACGGAACCGTTAAACTCATCGCTTTCGATGATATTCCTCAACGCAATCGTCTGACTCTTGCAGTAAGACGTGAGTCGAAAGGCAGAGGGAAGTGGTTCGCGAAGACATGACATAAACGTTTGCCACTCACTCTCATCGATAATGTCTTGTGTTTTATAATACAATTCATAGTCTTTGTTGTCTTTAACGATATCTGAATATGATTTGTGACCATCTCTTCTGCCATCAGTCGACTCTTCTTTGGACTTCTGTACCAAAAGGCAACCATTGAGTGAATGAGCGAAAGAGCAGATCTGACCACAACTTACCCTTTGTTTGCCTCTCTTGAAGCGCTTCCTCTTCTTGTGGCTCACGTCTGAACTCATAATCCAAATCAATATTAATAGCAATCAAATTGAGTCCAAATTGAGTCCAATTCAGTGCAATGAATGTCAAGTAAACACGAGTTTTAAACTACACGTGAGTTTGCTTTCATAACATTTGTTCACAAATAATGTCTTTCATATACTTTCATAAAATAATTGTTGAATGAAATCGTTAGAATTAGTCAAACTAATCCATTTAATTGACCAGGCTCACTCACAGTTTGTAACTGTAAGTGATTAAAACAATTCTAAACCAATTTATATAATGTCTGTGAATTGTTTGGCAAAAATTCTTAACCTCACAATAATTATGCTATCATTGAATGTACTATAATAGTCTGTACTGTATAGTAAATTGCATACAATTATATTAATTAAATATATTCACATAATCATATAAGTGATGAATATTTTAATATGTATAAAACAATGATATATTTAATTTTAAGACACTATTATATTTTATAAACTATACTTAATAAACTCTTGTAAAACTAAGATTATTATTAGGATCTACTGTGCGTTAGATTTTTACAAACTTTAAAAATTGTGTTTATTATGGAGTTTAAATTAAATTACTTATTTTATAAGTAAGCCTTTTACTTGTTAGATATTGATTAATTAATTTAATTACAAAAATTATATATTTTGACATATAAGTGAAATTATATTGTATAATATATTTAAATGAAATATCTTAACTATGCATTTGAGTGTTCAAATAATACTGTATTTATTTATTAATGAATCTGAATATTCTCTATGGCTTAATAATAATAATTTAAGATATTAATGAATAAATAAT